GCTTGCTGGGCGTGGGCACTCAGGGCGGGTGGAAGGGGCCAGGATGCGGCTCTGGCTGGCTCTCTCTCTCTTGAGATAGAAGAGCAGGCCGCTAAGGGGCCGAGTAGGCAACTGAGGGGGTGCACACGTATCCCGCCCGAGCATGGATCTCCCCACACTGCTGACAGGTGGGAGCCTTTCCTCCTCTCCCCCCACCTCCGAAGGGACCCCCTGCACCTTCCCCTTCCCACTTCTCACTGCTCGCCTTGTTCTCCGCTCTCAGGGTTGCTCAGGATCCTCCTCTGGCAGGCAGCCTGTGCAGGTAAGTCGATCCGCCTTTGAGTCCCTGAAAGGGGCCCGTCTTGGGTGGGTGCAGCTGGAGGCTCATCTTTTCCTGCCACCTCTTTTTCACCTGGAACATCCCCTCTGAGCTGAAGGAAATCCAACAGGGAGAGTCCACTCTGTGAAGCAACAGGGGGAGCGTGCCAGATGGAGCTGCCTCACCCTCCTGGCCGTCCTCTCCGCTTCCAGGCCTCTGTTTGGGGACTCCATGCAAGCATCAGCATCAGGGGTGGAGGTTTTGCCTCCTGGGCCCCCTGGCTGGAGGTTCCTTCATGGAGAGATGCGGAATCTGCCGCCAAAGGCAGGACTGCAGTCGTGGGATTGAACGCCTCAGTCTGGGCCACAGTGAGTGCAGCTCTGGGGGACTTTTCTCACTTGGGGAGCTGTCGAGAATGGGCCTGAATGAGCTCAGCTGCCTCCGTCCTGAACGGTGCAAAGCCAGGGGGCCTGGGAGGAGGACACTGCGTGGATTTGGTCAGAGCCTGTGGAGTGGCTCTCCCAAATTCCTGGGAGAGGGAACCGTGTCCCACATGGAAACCATGTTTTTTCTAAGGTGCCGAGGAGACGTCTGCATGGCAGCTTCTGTCACCCCCAGAATTATCCTGGTCCCCTCCAGGCAGTGTTGTTTCTCGAGGGGAGCCGATCCACTTGAACTGCTCCCCCCCAGGAGGACAGGAGGCTAAGTGGTTCTTCTTCCACCAATTAAAAGAAGGGGGTAAATGGACCGAACTGGTACAACGGCAGCAAAATCACTTTGTGGTCCCCACGTTACACCTGAAGGCAAAGGAAACATTTGCATGCAGTTACTTGGGCAGAAACAGGAAAGGCAGACGATGGCACTCTGAAAAGAGCAACCAGGCCATGATCACCATCTCTGGTAGGTGTCCTTCTTGTTGCTTGGAAATCTAACACACTCCAATCTTACTGAGTTGTTAACAATGTGTGGAAAGGGGATGTCCTGGAACCTAATGCTTTCCTCGGGCACAGGGGAGTGCAGAATCCGTGGAGAAGCTGAGGGATTTTTTTTCTTGAATTCATGATCTGCTGGCTTTTGGGATCGCTCTTCCAAACACGCCAAAAATGCACCAATTCCCCAGATTTTAGAGCCTCTGCGTTGGGGTTGTTTCCCTCCCTGCCTCTTCCTTCCGCCATGGATTTTGGCAGCAGGGATGCCAGATTGTTCTGTGAAAGGAAATGCAAATCCTGGCACTTCTGGGATC